AAGAAGAAGAAGAAGTAAATAAGCAACGAGAGGCGCCTTGCATCATTTATTTTTTAACTTAACGGCTAACCTTTTGAGCAATTGCAAATTTACTTTCTACCGACGAGTCTAGAATCTAACATCTACCAATTTGTTGTTTTTTTCTTTTTATTAAGAAAAACAAAAATTGTAACGATCAATGGTTCCGTGCGAGAAAATGAAACAAAATTCATTTTACGATTTATTTGCGAATTTTTTGCAACTTATAAATCACTTTCAAAATTATCTGCACTATTGTTCTATAATTCTTTTTTTTCTAATTTAATGAAAACATCGTAACACATAATCGTTAATTGCTATTGATAAGAGTTTAGTCAGCATAGTACACACGTGGCTAGTACTACTGATTATCTGTTTACGTATGAGTATTATTTGCGTGTGCGTGTGTGTGCACGTTCAGAATGAACACACCCGAAACGATCAAGAAATCAGATTTGTTTTGAAATATTCAGATTAACGAAAAAACGATTATAGTTTCAGATCGTTTTTAATCTATTAGTGTTTTGATTCATTAGTATAGCCTAATCAATGTTTTTTTTTTCTTATAACTAGATGTATAATGCACGGATAAAAAGTTTAATGTGTCATTGAATTATTTCATTTTAAATACGGCAAATGTTTTTTTCCATTGAAAAGATCTGCCTTTAATTTTTTGTTTCTTGCTTATTTCGTCGTATTTTTTTAAATTTCTTGTTTTTAGAATTAAGAATGCTGTTATTATAGCAATGATGTTTTGTCGGGGAGACACGTTTCGGTTTGATGCGTTACTGATTAGCCAGCACGTAGATTCTAAATATTTGCTGAATTGGCGGTGATTTTTATCGTTGCATAGGTTCTTAGAAAAGGAGAGAATGCACAACTTAAGTAGATTCTTAGTAATAGAAATAAATATTGTAAACAAGATATTTTATCGTTGAAATAATTTTCTATGTTAAATATAAATCGTAAACATCATTTTTTCCATTTTAATATCTCTTTAATTATTAGCGTTATTCTATTGTTATTTATTATTATTATTATTATTGTTGTTGTTGTTTAATTGATTGTCATCATTTTAATTTGATTTTTCATATAAATTCTTATTTATTTTATTAATTAAAAAAGGCATACACACTTGGCGGAATAGAAAATTTATCAAAAATTTACCGCAACAAATAGATAAGAAATAAAAGACAAATAAATATGAAAAAAAAAAACATTTAGGAGAAAAGAAAGCGTTGTCGCGCATATGCGTTATTTTATACAACACGAATTCTATTGTTATCGCCCCTACCTGGCACGACCGGATCCTCGCTACTAGTTATGCAATGTATAGATTATATTTTGCCTTGTTTCACTTTGTAGCTTCGTCACCTTCGTGTCTATGTGCCATCTTTAAACAGTCATTTGCGAACGTCATTACAACCGAATAAGACGGTTTTTTATTTTTTATAACCGGACGAGAGCGAATTAACTTGTAAATTTGTTTATAACTTTCTTCCTTATTTCATACTTTTTAACCCTTATATTTATAATAACACCTCAAATTTGAGCATTTAAACGTGTCAGTAATTTCGTGTTATAATACAAAAAAAATCATCATTATTTTTTCCCAAACGTTTCAATAGAAATATAACTTAAAAAAAAGAACAAATTTGTATACACAAATTGATCATTAATGATGAAATTTTAGATTTAAAAAATGATTGCGTTAAAACAAATCGGAAAGTAATATAATTTGCATAATAAATGGTGAAGAAGAGGTCTAATTAAAAGATCGTGCAGAACGATTGTTTTATTTTGGAATCTATCGATCGAGATGGAAAGCAGTCGTTCGTTAACGACGAATAAGAATAGGTATTCGAACGAGGTATTCGAAAATAAACGTAAAACGGTTAGCGGGGGTGGTCGGGGTAAAGAAGATAAGAGGGAGTGGCCGAGGATCGGCGATCTCTCACAATCAGTGGCACTTAATTGGGATGCGCGACGCGGTTTGTGTCACGGCGCGGCACCGACCGGTCACGCACTCGAATCGATTACATCTACGACAAACGAATCTACGAGCGTGCTCTCCTACGTGTTCTTTTCCATTCTTATAATAAGACTAACGAAATAAAAAAAGAAAGAAATGAAGAGAGAGAAAGAGAGAGAGAAAGGGAGAGATGTATAGGACATAAATACATGTGTACGTAACATGTGATTATAATGCAGTAGTGCGAGCTTGTAATTTGAAATTTATGAATACTTTTAAAACCATCTACCTAACGCATTTTAATTTCATCCTAAGTTCTTAATAATTTAAAGTAGTCAAGGATCTTAAGGATCAAATTGGATCTTGATTAACTAATCAATTCTGATTAATCAGGTTGATCCTTGTTTATATGTTTAATTTTGTTTTTTTTTTTTTTTAATTTAATTCATTTGCCAATTGAATATTAATTTATAAACAATGTCTTTAGAAAGATTATCAATATCCGTAAATTAAGAATCATTTTTGTTAACTTATCTATGCAAGAGATACTTGTAATTGTATATGCACATAACATTAAATATAAGAGTCTACTAACAACGACAATGACAACAACGACAACGATGATGCACGATGGTGAGTTGCTTGGTGCAACTCGGCTTTGAGGTTATCCGCAAGGACGTCCACATAACTCATGCTCGGTGTTAACTCAAGCTGATCGACTTGCGTCGATTCGAAAGTGCAAGGCGGATCGCTTCGACTTCTCAATTCCCTCGCCCTCGGTATTTTCATTAAACTTAAACCATTCATTCAAGTTACGTGTCTTAATCAGTCAACGTAATCAATCAACGACTCAATATTTGGGAATTTTATTTATTTTGAAAATTATTTTATCATTTCGATAAATCTATTCTGTGTAATACACTCTCATCACTTTTTCCCAAACGCGCTAAAAGAAGTATAACTTTAATAATATAAAAAACTATAATTCTAAATATATATATGTGCAATATAGTGAGATAAAAAATTAATAGGTGAAAAATTAAATATCTTTAATAAATCATTAATATTAATAAAAAGTAAAAATAATTGGCCATTATAATAAATCGTAGAAATAATACGTGATCGTTAAAAAAACTTATTCTTTTCCTGATATCGAATTAAACAATATTACAACTCATTTTTGATCATCAAGTCAGAAAATTAAAGAAATTATGCAGCTGCGATTATCTTACGAAATTATGCATAAATTCACGTACGAATAAGTCAAATTGTTGGATGGAAAGAATACTGTAATATTACTTTAGTCATCGCTCTGATAAAATTATCATTTACTTTGCATGTTTCTTAGTATTTCTTTTGTTTTCTAAGGAAAATGAAAGGAAAACCTGTTCGACAAGAAGCGTGATCTGTAAAAATAAAAAAGTTCAATATATTCTAATTGATTTAACTCATTCTTTTATTCGCGACTTTAGGACAAATCGTTGTAATCAAAATATCGGTTTATAATGATTAATAAATTCATTCCAAAAATGAGAATACTAAAAAAAGAAAAAGTCGTCTGGGTTCTGCTAGTTTATTAAACAAAAACAAAGGATTAACGCGAATGTTTAAAATAGAAAATAATACTCTGCATTTTAGAAGAGGAAATTTATCAAGGTAAGCCGCTAAAGTTGAACTTAATGACATCAGGCTTTGTTCAAAAACGACTCTGACAGGTTTGACGTCACGCTTAAGATATTAACTTGGCATACTCACGAAGAATATAAGATAAAGCACGTTCGATCGGTTTCGATCATTATGATTTTTACGAGAAATCCCGAAGCGCATATAAGAATGTAATACGTGGTTAGACATGTAATAAAAGCTAAGTTTTAATAGATAATAAATAATAAAAAAAGACAGATTTACAATTTTTATCCCCATTAAAGCAACAACGAACATTTTCCAAAATATTTTCAACAAACACCAACTACAGATATATTTTATCGATACTGAAGCAATCCAAACTGAAGAACATTTATGTTTTCTTACGGTTTCTTATGATTTCAAGATTACATTTGTATTTTTACGTGTTCGTGTTTTTATGTGTTGCTGTTACCATGCGTGATCGCACTGTTCAATATTTTTCTTTAATTTTTTTTCTCCAAATGGACAGAGGCTAATACATTTGAGGTAGTAATATTTATTGTTGGTCATAGAAATTTGGATAAACTTATTGTTGCTGTAGTAGATAGAAGGCTTAATGCGAACAATAGCAACAACCAGTGATCTGGCAATTAAACTGGTACAGGAAGTTCTATACGTCAGCATATAGTCAGGATGGTATTCTCTCTCTCTCTCTCTCTCTCTCTATTTCTGTGGTATATTATAAAAAACGATGTGTACGTGCAAACGATGTAGCGACGGTAGTGACGGAGACGTATTGCCATAATCTGCACGCATCGGTGTATTCTATTCTATGAAAGGTAGGAGAAAATTGCATAAATATAATCAATGTTTGAACGAGGATGAATCGCTGAGGTAGTTACCGAGACTCTTACGTGCTGTACTACGATTATAATTGTACGCACTCGTGCAGATCGTTTTCATCAAGTAGATATTACCGGTAGCGAGAAATAGTCGATGCTGTTCTCGATCGCGATAGAAAACAGTAAACGGTATATCTTTAAACCAATGCAAAGTTAGTTTTTCGATTGGTAGATATAACGTGTTGTATATACTGCATACATCATTTGTCATTATCGGATAATCACCTTGGAAGTCATACACAATTCATAGGTGAGTCACGCATGAATTTTCATCATTTTTATGAGTCGGAAATAATAGTCGGCGCGTTTCGCGCGACGTTGTTAAAAAAGTTTTGTTTACCTAAATCGTCTTGAACGACTATAAGAAATATTTCTTTACATTTACACAACAATCCTTGTATTATTACAATTTTTAACAATAATAAATAATGTTCATACGATAAAAAGAAAATATTAAAAAGATATTCGTTATTATTTCGCAGGTAGCCGAAACGTAAAATGGTGGCTTCGCAGAATGACGGGGGAAGAAGTGTGGGCGGCGGGGGTGAAAGCGAAACCGTTTACACGGTGACGGTGAGTGGTGTGGGTTACAGAAACGAAGGATACAAGGACGATGGTAACGACTGTATACCACCGGAACCACAAAAACCACCGCAGTTACCACCACCGGAAGATGATACGCAATCAAGGAAATTTAAATTATCCCGGGGTGAGAAGTGGCGGATTTTGAAGAACATTGGTACAGTCTCGGTAGCGTTTATGGTGCAGTTTACTGCGTTCCAAGGGACAGCTAACCTTCAATCGTCGATAAATGCGAGCGATGGTCTCGGAACTGTTTCCCTTTCGGCGATTTACGCAGCCCTCGTGTTATCTTGCATTTTCGTACCGACTTTTCTCATCAAGAGGTTAACCGTTAAATGGACGCTTTGCTTGTCGATGCTTTGTTACGCGCCTTACATCGGTTCACAATTTTATCCAAGATTCTACACCCTAGTGCCGGCTGGGGTTTTACTCGGTCTCGGTGCTGCACCAATGTGGGCAGCAAAAGCAACCTACTTGACACAAGTTGGTGGTGTTTATGCAAAACTCACAGATCAACCGGTCGATGCGATAGTCGTCAGATTTTTTGGATTTTTCTTCCTTGCATGGCAAACCGCTGAATTATGGGGAAATCTCATATCTTCGCTCGGTAAGTTATTTATCTATTTTATTATATCTTTTCTTTCTCTTCTTTCAAACTTTCCCATTATCCTAATTAATATAGTTTAGCGCGTTACGTACTATACGCTAGCTAACGTGTTGTCTGTTTTACTTAACACATTTCTCCGCTTATTCAGAGATTTGAATGAATGGGCAAGGCAGCTCGTATGCAACCGGAGTGCCGGCTATTAGTATTGAAGTAGTTTATGATTGATTCAAGGAAGTCAGACGATGACCGATCAAACGCGAACTCTTTCCCTTAGCAAGCCATGCTCGCGCACGAGGTCGTTATACACACGCGTATAGATCTCATAAACGATGCGATGTTTGTCTGTCGTTGTGAAAAAGAGAGAGAAAGAGAGAGAGAGAGAGAGAAAGAGAGAGAGAGAAAGAGAGAGAGAAAGAGAGAGAGAGTGAGCGAGTGAGAGCGATAAGGAACGCAAGAAGAAACAAGATTTATCCGGTATAAACTCGTGATAGTCGGTTTCCGTACCACTTCGTACACATTCTCCGATACCGTGTTGTTAGCTACCAATAATCCTATCCTTTCTTTTTTTTCTCGATTTCTTTTCTTTGTCCGACTATCTCTCTCTCTCTCAGTCATCTAATAAACTAATACCACGGACAGATTAATTCGATGTTTAATTAGTAAACAAATTTTCACGGCATTTGAAATTATCCTTTTTTAAAATTATTCGGAAATAAGTTTGTAGAAGTTATGATGTCTTTTTTTTTTTTTTGTTTTTTTTTTTTGAATCAAAATTCCTCGGTAGATTTGAATTTTCGCGCCGTGTGTAGTATTCCATTAACCGTTATCATTGATAAAGTATAAAATTGACATAAGCTCGTACGGGTCGCGCGGGAAAAGATCTTTTAAAAGTGGTATAATACCTATTATTAGCATTGCCACTACGGTGAAAGTTTTCTCTTCTCGCGTTAAGTTCCTGAGTATGTGTATCCGTGCGTGTGTATCGTGGTAACAGGTATGCGTCTATTGGCCAACGTGAATTCCACAATGGCGTTTTAGTTTCGCGCGCACGGAATATTATTAGGTTACCGCTAGAGTCATTTGAATACTTTGGGAAAATTCGATTTAACATTATAACACGATCCTAAAATAACTTAAATTATCATTAAGATTATAAGTAATTTCAATTAATTTTTAATTAAATATACAAATTTGAATCATTATCTATTTTATTGTAAAAATTTGTAATTTCTCATTTATACAAATTTGTTAATTGTGATAAAAAATCTGATGCAAGTATTGACGAAAGTATTTATAACCTATGGTATATATCATTTATTTTTATATGTCGACTCAAGCAAAGATATTAATACATCATTGTCTGCATTCAGTAGATAACCTACTTTAGATAGCTATCACATTTAAAACAATTACCAATGAACAATTTTCTGAACCATTGTTGGTGTCTAGTAACTTTCAAGATATCATAAATTGTTTTGTTGTATTAAATCTTGATAAAAAAATAAAGTTGCATGCAATGATGTATTAATAGTCTACCATTTTATTTTTAAATTATAGAAATCTTTTGTTTTATTTTAAAACAATAAATCCATAATCTGTCTTGCGACAAACGATAACAAAATACTTTTTATCTCGTCAAAGACTTAAATTGAATTTAATTTATTTATTAATAAAGATCAATGATTTTTCTATAATTCGTGTTATTAATTGATAATTAAGTTAATTTAATACAAACGAGATGATTAAACTGAAAATAAATGAATGCCCTATCTGTAGAACGTATGTTATTTTAATTATAGCTTTTCTTTATTATTTCTTTGCTTTTTATTAAACACTTACGAGGAAAAGTTATTTGTCATTAGAAATGTGTTCTTCGTTTTAGCAATAGATATTTTAAAAAAGGTTTTTTATAAATTAGAAAAAAATGCGATCTTCCTATCCGAGAAGAATTCGATTCGAGACACGTATGTCTCAAAAGAAAATAAAAGTTTAACACGTTTCAATTGTCGTATACGATAATTTCGACATAAGACGAGGAGAAACTTCAAGTTACACGGTAATAAAGTTTCTTCGACATGAAGGGTTAGAATTTGTGTTAATAACTAATTATTAATCGTTCGTTCGTGTATATTGTTTATAAATAAGCGTTAATATATAATTTTCTTCAATCAAAAGATCTCTCTCTCTCTCTCTTTCTCTCTCAATTCTAAAGATTACGAAATTATACGATTTAAACGATTTTAATTTATTGATTCGTATATGCAAAAATTTGTAAAATATCTGATGAATTCTATTCATGCATTATTAATACATTTTTGACAAATCTGATAATTTGTTCTTTCTGATAAATATACATTTATAATCAGAACGAATTAAATTACTTTTCCCAATAAATCATTAACTATGAACAAGATAATCACATAATTTATCCTGTAATTTATATTCTAATAAACAAACATATCACTCGAATTCTCGCAATAATACGCTTTCTCTTATCTTGATTAACCTAGATAACACATTTGTTCATTTATTTACAAAAAAAAATTTGTTATAAATATGTCCCATGAAAATGAGACTAATGATTGTTCAGATTAAAGTTTTCATGTTACAACAATTTATCGCAAGATAATGAAGTGAAATTTGATCGAATAATAAATCTGTGTCTTACAAATTAGATAAAATGAATTGTTCAAAGTGTCGTGGTAATATTTGTTATAAATTTTCTTCTCGGTGAAAAATATTTGGAAACAAACATGATTCGGCTTCTACGAATTCGTAAAAATAATAACGGAGGGAAAAATGAAACGAATTGCAGTATATCATATCTCGTATCATTCATTTATAACGCATGACTTTTATCGTAGAAATTTCGTTGTGCAAGTTAGTTTGTCGCTTGTTGTACACATATCGTTTAAGATGATATATGTTTTATTTATTTGGTAGTTGTTGTTTGTGCTATTGAGCTTCTAGCGAAAAGATCCTTCTAGAAAAGTCGAAGTAAATGCCAGGAAACGATACGACGGATGAGAGCGCACGTTGATCGTTTCCTTCTTTGCATAGTCGTGTATATATCAACGCGTTAGTAGCGTTTATACAGTTGCGAATGAAACGCTTTCTCGTTATCGTTACGAGTATGTCATTCTATACCATGTGTATGATAATTCGAGAGATTTGCGAATTTGTTATCGATATCCGAAGAAGTTCATTTATTCTCATATATCCTTAGAAAATCTCAACTAATTTATGCTGTAGTATCATTCGAACAAAGAAACATACCGTTCCAATCAAAATTAATACATTCAATATTGGAAATGCAATTTTTTACGTTATTTCAAATTTTTTAAATAAATAATACCCTTGACGTATTAGTACTACGTCATTATATTATTATTTAATTTTATTATTAATTTGATCGACTCAATGTTGTTTCATATATATATATATTCTTTGTTTGTTTTTTTTTTTTTTTTATAATTATATTTTCTTGTTAAGCTTTTTTAACCGAGGACTTGATAAATGATGCAAATTAATTTAAATTTGATGCACACATCATTAATTTCTCTATTTTTTTTTTATATATATTCAAGATGGTATATTCGGGATTCCCAATCTTTAATAATCGCTTAATAAGCAAATTGTTATTTTGTGTATTTAACGTTATTGCGTAAAATATAAATTGTTTTCCAATTAGAAACTTATAATTCGTTTATATAATAATAATAATAATATTATAGTAATTAAATAATATGTAAACAATAATTTCGTTATAAGTATTATACACTTAATGTTCATCCTTCGAAATAATTCTTAAATTTTTGATCAATAATGGCTAATAATAATAAGTCAAATTATTGATAATATATTATTTCTTCATTTATTAATACATTTAATATATTTCAAACAAATTATCTATTGTATCCGACTAAACGTTACGTAATAATGAGTTACAAACGAGAACAAAATCATATACCGTTTTCGATTTAAAAGATGTACCGCATTTAAATCGTCCTCTTGAAAATGATTAAAATAAAATAAAGGCACTGGTGGATGATAATTGTCACAAAACAATGCGAAATATATCTGAAAAATTGAATTTATTAAATTTAAATATTCACGATCATTTGAAACACCTTGAATTTTAAATACGAACAACATTTTCATTTATTTACCGCGTTGAGAAAAGCTAAAATTATTTTCCGAAGGATAACATAATAACAAGAAAAACAAATAAGAAAATTAGGAGGAAGATAGGGGTATGGAAAAGTAAGGATCCTGAAACGATAATTCGATATTTTGTGTCCCATATAATACAAATTATTACGGGCGTAATACCGTTGATTACCATGAGATACTAGTCTAACCGTGACATCGATATCTCTCGATCATTTGAAACGCGGAGAGAGCTAGCAAGCAAGCACAATCGATTTACGATTGACTAACACATTCGTAGGTGCACTTTACGAGACATGGTATCGCATATCCTCTACGATCCTATCAACACTTGATGATGTAACCTGATGTATAAGTTTTCTCTCTTTCTTTTTCTCTTTCTCTTTCTCTTTCTCTGTTATCATAGTATTATAATATCATCATTTCATTCGACTTAATTCTAGAGTTATCGATTTATCCACAACGTCGCTATACAATTAATGTACACTATCGTACAGAAAAATTCAAATGACTCTCGTTGATTTCCATTAAATTATTTTTAAAATGATTCACAACATTTTCTTACATTCACTAATGTTCTTTTATAATTTACACATCCGATTTAAGTCAATACTCGGAACGAATTTTCCTATCGAGAGACATCCTTTGCTAATTTTTATTAGAAAAATATGAACAAATATACTCAATAGAGGAAACTTAGGAAAAATTATAATTGACTTTATGGGATTGTAAATAATAGCGGTTTGTTTTTTAGAAAGGTAATTCGTATAAAAATATTCGTTTCTTGATCGGAAACAAAGAAATAATGTAAAACGTCATAAGTTTGTATTTTTTTGTTTATTGATTAATTATACTACCTCGGGGTTATTTCAAATGCATTTATTTTGTTGTTGTTGGTTATAAATGTTCTGTTTCTTTGAATTTACGCAAAGATTCCAAACTCTTGGCCGTAAATGTAATTAAGCTTCTTCGTTTGTATACTTGAGAAAACGACACCTTGCGATAGAATACGATCGAGTCAGGCCGTGATTTCCGGTGTAATACTGTAATCAACCTTTTCGATCTTTTCTCTTGATCCTAACATCACCTTGACGACGGAACTATCAATTAAGCCCATACGACGCGCGTATTTTAATGTGAAAAGTAAAACATTTTTGTTTTTACAAACACATTATATTATTGCCGATTTCTCTATAGATTTACACATTATTCTGTTTTATTTTCTTTCTTCTTATATTTTACTTTATTTCTTTATAATATATATATATATATCTTATAAAAATTAGACATTTAATATATTTAATTTAATTTAATTACTTTTTATTTTTATTTTTTAGTACTGAGCGAGGGAGAATTTGGTAGCAGTGGTGGCAATAGTACAACCAGTTGGAATAAGATCAAACTATGTGGGGCCGAATTTTGCGTATTTGGTAATGGAGCACATGATAATTTGGACAGACCACCGGAATCAGAGATTTATGAAATCTCATCAATCTATTTGACTTGCGTCATCGTTGCGGTAATAATCGTCGCTCTTTTCGTCGATCCTTTATCAAGGTAAGCTTTTTAAACGATACATCTTATTGTTTTCAATTTTATCCAATCCTTATTCATCATCACATTTCGTTCATTATATTTCTAATAAACAAATTTATTCGAGAAAATCATTTTAGATCATTTAAGACAAGTCGGATCATTTTTCAAATTGAACAATCTTATTCCACAATTTTATTTTATATTATATTTTATTTATCATTATTTGGGTCATAATTTAAAACAAAAAAATTTCTAACAAAATAATCATGAACTTTAATAAAAATAATAATACAATTTTATCCAATCTTATTTATCATATTATCTATCAGTCATAATATTTTTATGATCAAATTTATAATAAAAATATCATTTCAATCAGTATTCGAATTCTCTGAGACAAAAATTGCTAGTAATTTTCTTTTAATTTGAATTTTTTTTTATAAAACGTTCTAAAGAAATCAAATATCAAGAGGAAGGTTGTTAATTTGTATATACGTCGGACCATTTCTCGGAATTTTGTTTGTATAATTCGTCCGCAAAATAGTAGCAAAAGATGATACGAAGCGTCGTTTTTTTCCTGAGGAGTATTACGAAACCCGCCTTAATGAGCGAGTATCGCGAGATCCGTGGGTATCCCCCTTCCCAACCCTCCTCTCTCTCTCTTTTTATTTCTCTCTCTCTCAACGCGATATCGCCATAAACATTGCTCTGTTCATGATTGCAAAATAGCGTACATCCTGACAGGATACATAGATGCAAAGCCACCGACCACGTCATTACGTAATCCCACGATCGTAACGATCGCGATTTGTACTTATTAAAAATACTACGACTGCTAATCCAAATTATACTTAGCTTCTTAATACGAAACTTAAGCGGTTGATTACCACTGCACATCAAACTAATGTGTTTAAATTGATCGAAAAATTAATTCGTTCGTTTATGTTTCTTTTTTTTTTTTTTTTCATCGAATACACGATGGAACAAAAATAATAATAATAATAGAATATAATTTTCGAAAAGAATGAGCTGTCATAGAGAGAAAGAAAAAATTTGTTTAATAAGTCATTAATAGCAACGAATCATCGTCCGAACGCGGAAACAAAATAAAAAGCGTTTTATTGAAAATTATTGATTAAATTGGCTCGTAAATCACTAATCATTGCTGCGATGCGATCGTCGGGTGAGTCAGAATAAATGCTTTTTTTATTTTTTTTTTTTTATTTTCTCCATATATTACGACAAAAATATTGTAATAGTATAAACACTTGATTTAAAAAAGTTATATATATTGTGAAACCGATTGGATTTTTTGTTGTTTTCTTTTTTTATTTTCTTTAGGCAAATTTTTTACCTAAAATATGTTGGTCGCGGAGAAAAACCAGGTAAAAATACCAACATCGTCGTTTCACTTATGCCGGATGTATGCAATATTTAATGGCAGCCCGTTGATCAAATTATTATAGTCGAAGTAGGTTGGCTGGATCATTTGATGTTGCGAAGTATTCATGGAAAATCTCATTTTCGCGTGTTAGTTAAACGAGAATCTAACAACGTAAGTACGCGCACGTGCAAACTTACTATACCAAACTACTGCAAAATTTCTTACTGATAATTATATATATATATATAGATACACGATTATTAAGATACAAAAAGATGTCGTTAACGAACACTGTACTTTTATACAAATACGATACAAATGCGAGTGTTTTACGTTAATAATACGCGAACAAGGTAAAACCTTTTTTAAAAACCTTTATTAAAGGTAAATATATATCTTATTAACTTTTATATTAAAAAACTTATCTTAATCACCCAATATATATATATATATCGATCATTTCATTTAAATTCGTAAACAATTTCATTTATTCTTTGGCATACGAATTTATTTATTTATCTTGCTATTTCAATTTGTCTTTTATAGAACACGGAACGAAATAATTTGTAAAATACGATCAATAAATATGATTTAATCACGAATCGATAAAAAGGATGAATAAATCAATGATAATATATTTAAATTAATTATAATCAATGGACAAATTCTAATTGAATTAAACACAATTAATATCTTCATAACAAACGATACCATTTAGAAAAGTATAGTGAATAATAATTCGTTCTATATTTAATTTATATAATTTGAATAATTTCTATTTGCGTAATACGACTAACAGGTATATCAATGATCAATTTCTGCATTGATTAAAATAACAGCTATCTTTTCAACTGTAGTAAAAAGATTTAAAAGGAATCAATGAAAAATAGAAAAATATTTGTAAAGAAATGTCGTATTTGATTCGTCATTCTTCTATGACACGAAAAACGAAACATATCGTTTTATTTAAACGACTTTAAAACCGGAAACGGATATGTATTCTAGGTTCAAGAGAAACATGTCTCTTTTTATTTGATATCATGCGGCCCTGGGATATTACGAATTATAATTGGCTACCTCTAATGATTCTTAACCACTTCGTGCAAGAAGCGGAGGGGATACTTTGAACGATCGCATGAATGAAGCACCGTGCCACCGGACGGCATTGCTCGGATTGCGTAATCAAACAGGAATTACAAAATTTGCATTTTTTGATCGATGCACGTGTAACTAAATGTGTATCTCTTTATTTTCCAATGTTACGTTAAACTATTATGTTTCTTTTAACGTCACTGCATCCAATCAATGCTTTTTATTATTATTTTTTTTTTTTGAATACAATACGTTTATTTAATGCTTTTGTTAAATGCACTTTTGATTTATTTCGAATTCACGATTCCGTCCTTAATGTTTAATTTAATTATTTTTCTGCTAGATTCTTTGGAAATGAATTTTAAGATTTTTTTTTCTCGTTCATTTAAAATCAACGCGATACAACCTTAAAATTAAATTTTAATTATTTCTTTGATTGATTCCTTGAAAATCGATTTATTTCTTTTTTTCAAATGTAATACTTAAAGTTAAATTTAATTATTTCTCAGATCGATTTCTTGCAATTTGATTTAATCCTTTTTTTTTTCAAACGGTGCTCTTAGAATTAAATATAATCATTTCTCGGATTGATTCTTTACAAACATATTGGTAATCGATTTAATCCTTTCACTTATAAGTGAGTAGATAATGACTATATTGCCACTGCAGTGACGGGTCAATTGAGACTCATTGTCAGAGTGTCTGCATATTTTTTTTTTTATATCATGGAAGGTTACACACTTGATGCTTTTTTTTTATATATATATTATTTCTAATTAAATTACGAATAATTGTTAACAAAACATGTAAACGGATGAATATACTCGTTATCAATTATTGTTACCATTCGAAATAATATTATTGTTCATAGAATTAATTGGATTTTTTTATATGAAATCAATTTAAATATAGTATTTCGTAGAAAAATCTTTATGCAAAAATATTATATTATTTTAATAGAAAATTATAATCATTTATTGTTAGTAAAACATTGGTCAATGTTTAATGACTCTTAGTCAACGAATATGATTAATTATAGTAACGAAATGTATAGATGTACGTTAAATGGTTGACTCGTATCCCTTAAAAGTAGGTAACACTGAACAGACGTAACATCTGAGCGTACGCTTATATGAATTTTCTCATCGTGCTCGTTATTATTCCTATTTTTATTTTCTGTAAAAATAACAAGAATAAAGAAAACAAAGTCTGTGATATCTCCAGATACTACGAGCGATATTACGTAAAGTTGTTAGAAAAAGAAATAGAAAGAGAGAGAGAGAGAGAGAGAGAGACAAACGTTAGATCCCAACGTGTCGCGTCGGCGATGCCGATATCTTTTTCACATTATGGTTGTTTCAAGGCTACGAGTCGTAACGGTTCGTTCAAGCCAAGTCTTTTCTGCTCCTTCAAAGATCCTACCATTCGTTATTAGACTATCATTAATTTTCTTTATCCAAGCAAAAAACTTGTTGTATTCGTCATCCATGTGCTTGGTGGTGATAATTACTACGGTGAATTAAGTGAACACATATTTTTTTTTTCTTTCTTTTTTTACAAATTTATTTTCTATTAAAATAATTTATATTATAGAATATAAATTATAAACTGTGATTTATTTTATGAAGAAAATTGTTTAATATATTTTTTGTTTAATCCACACTGTCACATAATTATATAAACGCATATGCTCATATTCGATTTTTTTTTTTCGTGTGCCGGTAATCATGATAGCGAATATAAAAGTGAACACAAATTTTTTAATATATAATAAATAAATTGTAAAATATTATTTACAAACAAACAAAATTTGTTGTATGACTTAATCCACCATTATAATTATTGGCACGTTATGTTCGCATTCAGGAGAAACGTTTAACATTTAATCGTGATATTTATTATAAAACTAACTTCAGTAGGAAATAAATAAAAATGATATTCATCAACGAGAATGCATATTTCTTGGATCATACTAAAGCAACAGAAATAAATAGCGATCGACAGCCTTTATCCTTGTGAAAGGAGATAAAACAACACTTGATGACCTTGCAAGGCTGAGTAGCCGATCGCGTATGTGATACCGTGAGAGAAGTAGTAACGGCAATAATTAACACCTTTCCATATCCATTTGCCTTTTTTCTTAAATTATTTTCTTCTTATCCTGACTAAGTGTATCTTACGTATCCATGATATGTAAAAGTTTGTTAAAGGAAAAAAAGGAAAAGAAGAAGAAAAAGAAAAAAAAGAATAATACAATTTATAATTGTAGAAATTTCCCGTTATGCACAATCACACGATCATGAACCGTAAAGCAGCAGCAGCAACAGAAACAGCAATAGTTTTTCCGATTGGGAGGAAGTCGTTTGTTTCTCGAGCGATGCTGATCAATGAGTCAGTGTTTCGTTGAATTATGTATCTAGATTGCTTGGGAATGCATCTTATGCTTGCAACGTCCATTAACTGCACTCTCCCTCTCTCCCTCTGAGTCTTTTTCCATTACTATACTTGATACCAAGTAATGTGTAATAGTATAATAAAATATTAATATGCATGGGCACACATTAAAAAAAAAAAAACACACACGTAATTACGCGGATAATTCGAATTAACCAGAAATTCATTCTCTTCTTTTTAACCCCAACACAGTTACGGATTTCTCAGAAAAGTAATCAAGAAAATGAACGTAGAGAAAAAAAAGAAAAAAGAAAAAAAAAGGAACAAAAGCAAAAGATGCAACCAAATGTTTGATTAGAATAAAATCATTATGTAATAATAAGAACGGTTAGATGATAGGAATGGATGTGAATCTCATCGGGTTATGCGTGCGTATACGCGTGTGTGTGTGTGTGTGTGGGTTTTTTTGAAAAACCTAGGCGAGAACCGAGACCTCGAGATACCGCATTCGTACAACAAGCTCTTGTCCACCTCGAAAGTATCCGTAGCTTCGGCTGGTCCAAGAAAGTCAAACGGCAGAACGTGTTCTCTGGAATGCCGTCTGGGTTGGAACATTTGCCAAGAGAGGAGAACGTACGCTGTGCTGTCGTTGGGAGAACGTGTTAAGCCGTTTAATAGCGCCAACCTGAGATTTATCTTGCAAATTCGCTGTCGTAGTCTCTCCTCGGGACCTGGAGAATCGTTGGATGAACTACTCCAAGTTACCAACACGTTCATAATCGAGTATTGTAAGTTAGTTTTATAAAAACTTTGTTTCTGGATTCTCATCATCGTCATCAGCATCTTCGACTGATATTATAGTCGTTGGAATTGGTGTAACACTTGGACCATAATAGGAATATCCTTATTGTATCCTAATCTTTTGCATAATTTCAACAATCATAGTTTTTATCACCTGGTCTCATTTAATTCCCGTTTAATATATACGCATGAATAACAACAACAACAACAGCAGCAGCAGCAGCAACAACAACGACAACAATATTGGAAAATGGGAAAAGGAGTTTAGAAAAAAATATGTAAATAAATAGTAGCGTCCACAACATCCGTTCTAAACATAGTCGTCATTAAAGTGCTTTTTAGTGGACGTAAACGACGTCATTAAATTTCTCGCGAGACCTCGAACTGTCGTTAATCGTAAACTCCCAATCGAGATAGCGAGATTAGAGTCTTGTTTTCGTTTCTTTTTCTTTTCTTTTTCTTTTTTTTTATTTCTTTACGTCTTTCAATCAAACCATACATACACATATATATATACAAATACTATAATAAAAATGTCTCATGGTAAATTAAATATTTTATGTGCAGATACGGGGAGAAGCAACGACGTGCCGATAGTCAGGAACTCAGTGGTATTCAATTACTTTCGGCGACCGCTTATCAACTAAAGAAACCTTATCAACAGTTACTTATACCTATCACGGTATGGATCGGCATGGAGCAGGCCTTCATCGGTGCCGATTTTACTCAGGTAATATTTTTTTTTATTAGATAATAATTATATGTTAATAATATTGATTCGACTGGAAAGTTCTCTTGCCAATTTACAAATATATATATATATATTCAATTTTTGTTATTAATATATAAACAAATTTGGCAATAAATCAATAATAACTTTTCGAACAAATTAATGATATTAATATTGGCATATATCCCGGAAATAATATGCCAATTTATAAATGCATACGTTATTAGATTTCTATTTTCAATAGACAAACAACATTTTCACAAAATTGGCAAACACTTTCCAGCCGGTTGAACAGACAGACGTTTTTACATTTAATTTGTTTTTTTTTTCTTTTTTTTTTTTAAATACCGATCTCGAAAAAATTTATATAATATAGTGAAAATAATCATCGGCTAAGGACTTTCCGAGAAAAGCGATACTTACAATTAGTTAATTACAATCAATGTTAGTTCGATTTTCGCTAACGTCGTTCAGACAAGTCCAACGAAGTTGCGAGTAACCTACTTCTGAAGAAACTCGAAGGCTGAGCTGTAATGGAAGCTTCTCGTCGGTCGTTGAGCCGTATGACCGGTCGGTCGGTCGGTCGTTTGGTCGGTTTGTCTCTCCTCTCCCCCTCTTCCACTCCTTCTCCTTCTCCTTCTCTTTTTCTCTCTTTCCTGTTTTTACTCTTTTTACACTCTTCTCACTGGCGCCAGAGATTATTTTTGCCGATCCGCTCGAACGATGTCGAAGAATCATCATTGGGCTATTTTATCCTTATTCTTAACCATTTCTTCTTCTTCTTCTTCTTCTTCTTCTTCTCCTTCTCCTTTTACTTCTTCTTCTCTTCCTTTCTTTTGCTTTTCTTTATCCCCCTTTCCCCCATTTCATTACCATAATCTTTCTCCGCTTTTAACCTCTCAATCGTTCATGGTATGTGTATATGTGTATGGTTGCGAGTCAATACCACTGATATAAGTGTGAACTTTTATAAGAAACGATCATCTTTTTCTTCAAGAGTTATGGCATAGCAACCGTTGGCAAGGACGTTCGGAAAAGACGACTCGGTCGACGTCCGACGATTCATATTTTTCTATATGATCCCCCTTTCAAAGAATATATAATAATTCGTTAATAAGGTTTTATAAAAATAATAAGAAATAATAATCATTAGTAACGATACTTTTTCTACAAGATTTCTATATTGAATTTCCTTGTGAATACTCATGACGAGTTTAGTACCGTGTTATATGAGTGTATTACGCGAAAGTTTTCACCTAGTGAGAATTTCACCGACTAGAAATAAACCTTATTCGCTTACATAAAAAGTATCGAGACACTCGTGTAAACGATTTTAACCCGATTTGAAAATATTTAATTACCCGGAAAACAGATTTAATAAATACGTTGCTTGAAATTTGTATTAAATACAAATTGGCAGGGACATTTTGGACAAACTAATATTTATTCTATTAGGATTACGTGGAAAGTTCGTCGTGTCGATTTACAAATATATATATATATAAAAAAATACATAAAAGTTTTACCTTTAAATTATATCGAAAAATATCGGTACCAACATTCCAAGCAATCCGGTATAATATATGAAAGGAAATATAAATCGCTTTTAAAAGTTTTTCCAGTTTATATTTTTGTTCAAAAAAGAATATCAATAAGAAGAAGAAGAAGAAGAAGAAAAAGAAACGAGTTGATTTATTTATAAGTAACGTAGATTTGACTTTAAAGGAAAACGAGAAACTCTGGTCGATACGTTGTTTAAAACTCGTTGCACGACGACGACGACGGCGACGGCGACGACTTCTTCGAGCTTCGAAGGCAAACTGGAAATGATAAAGAAAAAGAAAAGATAAAGAAGAAAAATAATCGTTGATTTTCTAGCCCTTCGAGGCTCCTCTTGACGTCATTGCACTTTCCATTCTAGTTTAAAACCAAAGATGTAGAAAATGTATCCGCGAAGCGAGCAAGGCGAAGGTCATCGGTCCTCGCGTTGGTAAGGATTCATCACGGCCAACCACTACCTTTTTCTAACTCCGTGTCATTTTCTTGCAAATCAACATTGTTTTCATCTCTTAAGATACTTACCAACGCAACTAATGTAAATATATTTTATTTATCAACCCACAAGTTACAATATATTTTATACATATAATAATATATATATATGTTATCGTCAAAGCCGGAAATAAGTCATTACTAGTAATTCCTCGGCATTACTATGAATGTGAAGAGCCTTCAGACGAAGTCGGAAATTGAAAAATTCTTCCAGTTTTTCCTAGGCATCGAACATAATACTTGATATTCTATAGAATATCAAATTACTATTTAAACAACGTTGAAAAGAATACGTTCTCGAGCACAGAACACACAGCCATACGCAACCCCTCTTCCCCAAAACAACTCATACAGGCAAAAAACATTTCGTTCTAAACCTGTGTATCTTCCGATATGATGAGGGTGTACTTTAATTTAATATAAGTTTCATTAAAATCTATTCACTATTAGTATACAAAATATTTACCAAAACTTTTCAAAGAAATTGCAAAGATGCATAATTTACAACATTGCATTCTCTGACATTTTATGAAAATTTGCAGATCAATTTATAACTCGAAAAGGTATTTTACGCGTAGACAAAATAGTGTACTTTAATTTAATATAAGTTTCATTAAAATCTATTCACTATTAGTATAAAAAATATTTACCAAAACTTGTCAAAGAATTAGCAAAGTTGTACACAATTTACAATATTGCAAGAATTATTTTTAAAACATTCCTAATCAAAAATAAATCTTTTGGTTAGACATTAAATAATAACGTCCCTCTAATATTAAATATAATAGTATTTTCATGATATCTCTCCATTATAAATTGAAGTTCTCAACAAATTCATAATAGTATTTGATTCTTCGTATGTGAATTCTAAGGTATAATAAAAATTGCAAATACGATAGAACTTTTTTCTTCATCTTGTTCGAATGAAAAGGTACTCGGCCGCGTTAGTTGGCGCGAAAAGTGCAACGACTGGTGCTATCGAAGAAACGAACGAACCCGTCTTAAAACTGGTCCGACCAGAGAGGAGTGCATTCGCCGATGAGGCCAGGTAATTGGGCAATTAAATGGCGAAAGAGAAATAAAGAGAAAGAGAGAGAGAGAAAGAGAAAAATAACGAGAGAAAAAGAAAGAGAGAGAGAGAGACGAGGACTCATCTCTTTTCCTCTTTTCCTCTCCTCTCTCTTCTCCTCTCATCACTCTTTCTCTCTATCAGACGTGTGCGCTTATGCACTGACTCCATTGAGTCAGCTGGCTCGATATAAATAGCTTGCGATCTTATTCTCGCGATACCGCTTCCAAACCTGAAATGTTATGTACCTGTATCTCTTCTTCACCTGCAACATCAGCATGCACGCACACGTGCATCTCCATTTAACCAAGCTCGATCTCGTGAACGCTCCAGGCTATACAGGATGATTCAGATATTAACGTTCGTTCGTTCGTTCTCTTGAAAATGCACCCATTGAATACAAAAATGTACCTTTATTTTTTCTTGTTTTTTTTTTGAAGGATTCGACGTTTGCTTTATTCTTCCACGATAACACATGTATTTATATAATAATTTCTTTTGTTTTTGTTATTTTGTATTATTTTATTTGAAATGAGCTAGCATGCAGGAATTGTAGGAATATCATCTTATTGAATAAACAAAGTTAGTATATTTCTTGAGAAAAGAGCAATATCGGTTGATCAGATATCGTCCTAAGTGCGAAGGCTCGTTCTTGAATACTCGATAATTCGAGTTCCTCGACCGAGGATGGAATTTAAATTTTATCGAAAGGATTTTCCCGATATATACGTCAAATAACAAGCTCGGCTCGTTAAACCTTACCCACCTATCGTGTTTATTTACTGCATACTCGCGTAATAATATGTACCCATATACATTTATGTATAGGACACATATCTAAGTTTAGATAATATCTATATATATATATATATATATACACATACGTACACAATTACATTCATTGGTCTTAGAAATTATCCAGGAATTATTAGTTGAATAAATATGTACAAAGTTGTATATTAGTAATCCGTCCATGAAAATTCTTTGTGTAATAAACATTAGAATGTAGCAATATTCGATATAATATAAGACATATTCGAGCATCTTAGCATACTTTGATGAAATTCTTTAATTGGTATAGCGCGTTAAAAGAAACCGATTCCATTCGAGTTATTCTTCGCTTTGCAAAGCTGTAATACGTCATTTCAATGTCATTTTTCTACCACTCGTAGAAGTATCGTCCTTTCCATTCCAACGAATCCAGGGTCATGTAAGTCTTTGATTTCAAAATACCGGTTCGTACATCGAGTATCTACGTCATGATTCGATCAGCGTCTGTCTTGTTTACAACTCTCTAACCATAAGAACACCTAATGTTCAACTGATCGAAATGATCATTATCTTTTTCCTTTGTCAATTTATTTCAAAATAATAACACAAGTGACACGGTGAAAATCTCTTTAATGTTTTTATTTTTCGAATAAATAATTACATTTTTTTTAATTATATTGCTAGAACGGCGCGATGACCGAATAGTATTAAAAAAGTATAACAAACACATAGCTCATATGCAGTTGTTATAACATTGAATTCAATTGCAACAAAATTACATCAGATTTTTTTTTTCAAATTATTATTATAATTAGTAATTTAGATGCATCATAGAGAAAAGAAAATAATATAATCCCTAAAATGTATAAATATGTACAAAGTAAACAAAAAATGTATAAATATTTTTATAAGTAATGCAACAGTGTGCGCAATATTTTCCACAAGTAAATTTTTAATTATTGTTTAATTTAATTTATTTTTTTTTTTTATTTCGTCCTTATTTCAAAATATTTATACCAATAAAAAATTTAATTCGAAATAACAATTAGAGATTTCTTTTTTTTATGATGCGAGTAAACTCCTTAGTCGTTCAGTTAAAATATTAAATCCCAATTCCATTTGTATACTTTATTGATCATTAACAGTGAAATCACTAAAGAGAAATTAAAAATCTCTATTTTTTTTTTTTTTACTTTCAGGCATACATCTCTTGCGCTCTGGGCGTTCACAAAGTGGGATACGTGATGATATGTTTTGGAGTGGTAAACGCAGGTTGTTCCTTGTTATTTGGTTCTCTCATGAAATTCGTAGGAAGACAGCCATTGATGGCACTTGGTGCCATCGTTCACGCCTGTCTAATAGTTGTGTTGCTTCTTTGGAAACCACACCCGGATAATCCTTACATTTTTTATTCGGTCTCCGGCCTTTGGGGAGTCGGCGATGCTGTCTGGCAAACTCAAGTCAACGGTTAGTATTATTTAATGATTTATGATAGATAACGGAGCGGAATACGAATCGCTAATAATTAATGATCGTTTCGGAATTTTTAATGATTTTAAATATTCCCCTTATTTCAACCAATGACGAATATAATCGATATCGTAAAACTGAATTTTCCTTATTTCGTCCTGTATAGTAATTTTTATTTCTTCTTTTTATTTTATCTTCTTTACGATAGACGTAAGCGAAAAAAACCAATTTTGAATTTGTTTACAAAGAAATGGACACGCATACGGACGCGGTATTTAATTCCTTACAAAATTATTTTTAGCGATGTTATTTTTATTTTTTTTTTTTTATTATTTCATGAATAGAGAGAGAGACAAATAAACGTTTTTGCTCATGAATATCCAAAAATTTTTAGTCATTATGAATATGAAAAAGATTACGATGAAAAAACAGCTCCGGGTCCGACACTCGTCACTTTTTTTTAACCGAATCGGACAGTTAAAGACGAAGGTGATTGGATCGAAACTCGTATATAACGCGTCAAGTTTTTGTAAGATATATCATTACGTCATAGGATATAATAGCTTAGTATAACGGTTCTAATGAATTACATTAGTTTTACAATTACTATAATCTATCAAAAGAATTCCAATGCGTTTTGTTTTCTTTTTCTTTTTCCTATACTTACAATCATTTTTATTGATAAAAGTCTCACATAAATTAATAGCACATTAACACTCATGATTTGTACGGTTTTATGATATTTGCATTGAACACAATACTCAACAAATTGAGAACTGGTTTGCCAAAAATAAGAAAATCTCCTAAGTTGGCCAATAAGTATGTGAAATTTTGTCCAATAATTCATAAATAAATGATATAAATTGCACACACACTTATTAGCGAATCTAATTTTCTTTAAAAAAAAAAAAATAACATTCTAGATAGTTAAGTTTGAGACAGACGCGTAGAAAAATATTTCTTTGCTTTATTTTTTAACCATCAAAATACACTGAACGTTTACAATTAACTAACCTAATACATATTATTGAGAAAAAAAATGATTATAATACAATTTGGTATGATAGCAAAAAGAAAAAGAATTATAAACAATTGAATTTAAAAGAGATTATTATTTATTAATTATTAATAGTCACAAAAATCGATAGTTAACTTTTTGTAAATCAATGAAAAGATACGCTTGCCAAAATTCAAAATTTGTATAGATTAAGTTCCCAAGCTTTTATATAGTAATTAAAAAAAAGAAATGAAAAAACCCATAAATAATAATTTGTATCACAGGTCTATACGGTACTCTCTTCAGGCGCAACAAGGAGGCCGCCTTTTCGAATTACAGGCTGTGGGAGAGCGCAGGATTCGTGATCGCATACGCTTATAGTACGCATTTATGCGCCCGCATGAAGCTTTACGTATTATTGACCGTTTTGATGATCGGAACAATGGGATACATAATCGTCGAACTTCTGCACAGGCGTAAGCAAAGAAGGTTGAAGGCTATTGCTGAGGATCCAAAAGCTGCGCAAGCAGAAGCCAATCAACCGGAAGAGACAGATGATGAGAAAGACGATCTAGATGACGACATAATCATCACGCATCTTTGAACAATCGACAAATCGATTCGCTGAGCTTCGATGACGCGAAGGAAAGGGGAAAAAAAAAGGTGGGGGGAGAGGGCGGCAGGTTTTTTAGCCTTTTATCGCGTTCTCAACGGGGCTGAGGACAATAGATTATTTCGAACAATTAGTGGACGATCTCGAGTGATTTCGAGTAAACCACTTTTCTCCTTCTTTCCTTTTTTTCTTTTCTTCCTATTCTCCTTTTTTTCTTTTTATTCATTTTAAATTAAATTTAATCTTCTTTCTTCTTCTTCTTCTTCTTCTTCTTATTCTTATTCTTCTTATCTCAATTTCAAATACCAATCCTTTCTTCTCTCATCTTTTTGCGATGAAATCCGAGAAAAGGTATATACGCATGGAAAGGAAAAAAAATAAAAAGAAAAAAGAAACGTAAATCACTAGACACGAAAGATGGTCTTTCGCGATGAAACGGAAGCACCAATCTTCGCGAGCTACTCTTGGTTGTTTGCATTTAAATAGAGTTCGGGGTAGGAACGTTGCCGTCCATTTATCCTTCCCATTGAATCACTTTGTTGCCTGTTACTTAATAAGGTAAAGATGCACTCTATTTTTTCACAACAAATCTAAACTAAATCTAGTAATCGAATTTTCTTTAAAATAATTCATTTCTTCGGTGGTAGATGTATGAAAGAAATCCAAGAAAATCGATCGCGCGACGAAAAAACAATAAAAATGAAAATAATCTTTCGCCGAATTTTTGTTTGTAATCATTTGAAAATAATAATTCGACGCCGTTTATTGCCGTCATTAGAAAAAATTAGAAAATTAATTAATTGTATAAAAAGAGAAAGAAAACTAACTTTCGTAATGACCTAATATAAATATACGCGTGTCTGTTTTAAATTAGTTTCAGTAATTATGATAATAAACTTAATTTAAAAAATTGAAATGATTTATTTTACGATTTATACAATATTAAAATTACTAGTATTTTACACACAAAATATATCGTAAAATAAATCATTCGCATATTTTCTTGACTAATATATGTCGACTATCATAATTACTGTTCACATTTAGATACCATTGGCAAGATAAAAATGGTCTTGTGCGAAGATGAGTAGTATTTTGTAGATAGATAGGAACGTTCGTTCTGCCAGTTTTTCATTATATATAAAAAAAAAAAAAAAGAAAAGAAAAAAGAAATAGAAAAAAGAAGGAAAATCCCGTAGAGGAAACTTGCGGCAATCCTGTATTATGGCGACGATAATTCCCTACATAGACTACTACCGTCGTACCTATTTATAGGTATCGCTAACTACTTATCTGTCCGATGTGCGGAGAACCGACGCCGGTCCGGTCCAGTCCGGTCCGGTCAACATACGCTGGTCTCCAAACGAATATCTTCTTCATCCTTCTCTTTCTTCTTCTTCTTCTTTGCTCCTCTTTCCAAACGGCTGATGGATACTCAGCCTCGTCTAAACCCGTTCCATCCAAGTATAGTCGAAGAAAGAAAGAAAAAGATAAAGAGAGAAAGAAAGAAAGAAAGAGATAAAGAGAGAGAAAGAAAATATGCAATTTTCTTACCGACGATCGTCAAGAGTTTAAATTCCGCGAGTCTCTTCCAACTAAAGGGGAGACTCCTCTTCTCTTCTCTTCTCTTCTCTTCGGTACATCCTTCTAAAGGGATATCTTAGGTCTTTTTTTTAAACGTCTGGCGCGAGACAAGGATTATTTTTAGAGTCCGGTTGTGTACACCGACGACTGCACAGGAGGAGTCACGCTATCGTTCGTTCCTTCATTCCTTCCTTCCTTCGCTCCTTCTTTCCTTCTTTCGTTCGTTCGTTCGTTCGTTTATTCGTTCGTTCGTTCGTTATTCAACGATGGAAGGCAATCGTTTATCTTCATCCGTATCCGATCGCCATAATTTCTCTCGTCTCGGAGGTCAGGAACCTTTCTGGGTATATTCCAAGGTAGGAAAATGTTCTCAAAGTACAACCTCATCCCATTCATCTCGTTAGCATCCTATCGTCATTCTTAGGAGCGCACTTCTCTTCCTCCATCTTGTCATAAAACAAATCAATCTCCAATGTTTTCATTCGAAACAATTCTTTCATATGAATTTCAATACTTTCGGCTGAAATTTAACACGAATCTCTCTCCCGTATTTAAATATTAGATTTATTCTTATTTCCCAATTATATATATATCTTTGGCATTATTTTTTTCTATATTGTTTGCCATTACACGCGACTTGCGAGATCAACATTCAACATTTTTTCGAGGAAAAAAAAAATACAATTAATCAGAGTGTCGAGATCGACCTTGTATTATTTCCTCGGAAGAAAAAAAAATCGAACGTCGTGTTTCTACGAACAATTTCTTCATACCCTTTCCAAATTCCTCTCATGCTTCGTAGCGAAAGATTAAGAAAGAAAAATATTACAATAAATTATTTTCTTCTTCGTGAGAAATAATGAATTACTATTTCGAAAGATAAACTGAAGGAAAGGGAGAATTATTGTTGGATAATATATTAATTAAATTCCAATATTTTTCACGTTTTTCTCGTCTTTGAGCTTAGAAATGAAAGATGGCTGCTACCACTGATAATCTACCAAGAAAAATTATCCATGTTACTTTTGTTCTTTCCTTCTATCTTGCTACATCTATTCTTTATCTTCTTTTTTAATTCTTTTGATACTTACATTAGTCTTTTAAGAAACTGGACCACAAAAACCGTAGTTGTTAGGAAACTGAAGTTTGCTCGATATATAAGAAACAAAAATAAAGAAAATATAAAGAAGCCTGTAGATAAATATAATAATATTATTAAGGATAATAATTGTAATAGGGTTCCAATGACAAATATACGACGAAGTTAATACGACAGCGGATAAAAATAAGCCTTTGTATACTTGCCGACGATTACTGATCAAATTCGCGATCACGTACATCGTATTAAAAATGGTGTAGCACGTTTATTAAACTGGACAAAATGGAAGCTAGATCTGCTATTGAAAGAAAGCCTCGTTTCATTGTGTTTGATAATATTTTTAACAGTCTTTATCATATTATTTGTAAGTTTCAAACAAGAAATGAGTGTATGAACCAATGATGAATTTTATTCATTGACGAATGCTATATATATATTTATATATATATAATATATTTAATATATATTATAGTTACAATAAGTTATGGGAGTATTCGTACCTACCCCCAGAGATGGATCATTAATTTTGAGAGTCCTGGACTAACATTGTTTGGATATCTACCTAATTAACCAAAGTTTGGATTAGTTGCGGCGACTCATTCGCCATTTTATCGACAAATTGTTTTAATTCTTCTTTTACCGCGAAGGGAGCCTTTTAATTGAATGAGACTCTGGGCTGCATCCCATTGGGATCATATCTTAATCCGCCCCTACCCAACCCGGCTGTCAATTTGATATAAATGAAATTTACTTGTAATGTAAAGTTACAAGTAAGTATTCTTCCATTGAAAATTTACATAAATGTTACTAACTTTCGGAGGCCCAAAATTGATATCAATTTCAAAATCGAATAATCTTAAAATATGTTTTTATGTATAAAAATTTTGAAATATTGTATTACAAGTAAATAATAATCGTTTAAAATTGACAGTAGGTGTACGAATACTTCAGTGATTCGTTGTACATCGATTTTAAATATTTTATGGATTAGTGAATAGATAAAAAATATTTAAAAACTTGAACGAGAGATGATGTATAATTTATACATCGAACGTTCAAAAAACATTACAATTACATAAGTAATTTGTTCGACGAGCTGCTATCACGTAGTTATAAAAAAATATAAAAATTAATTAAATGACGATGACATCCACGACGTGATGACATTGTATAAATCAATGTGTTATTAATAAATGCCTACAAACAAGATACTTTTGGATTTGATGTAATTGATATCTTATCAATTATTATAAATGTATACATATATATATTTTTAATATCAGTATGGATAAAACGATTTGAAAAGTTCTTTATCAATCATATTGATCGAATCTCAAACGTTCTTTTTTAGCATTCTTTTATTAAACTTTGTTGCGTTATTTATAATCGTGAAAAGCGTCATAATTTTGCTTATAATTTGTCAAAATTACGAGGCTTTCGCGATGCAATTTAAACCTGATTAATTACCTTATCCCTATAATTAGGACAAGATAAAGGATTAAATACCACTAATCAAATATTTCAATTAATAATAATTGTTTGCTTCAACGCAAGATCTTGGTTCGCTTATTATTAACGTGACCAATTTTTTGTACAGAGAATATACATATATATATATATATATAGTTGGATAGAA